GATGTAGCTGAAGATCATGCTGCCCTGATCCTTTGGTAGCATCCCTTTGTCCATATCCCAAGGTCTTTTTCACATTTCATTACAAAGCCCTTCGTGGCACAGCACCAGTTTACTTGTGGAACATCTATCCCTGGGAGTGTATGCCCATTCTACAGGGTGGGCATGCTCTACACACCCTCTATTAAGCACCGTCATCTTATCAGATTGAGGAAACAGGTCTACTTTCTGCTCAGCTTCCCTACTGAGATTCAGAGGACCCAACACTTGGGGCACTCCTGGAAGGCCACTAACAGCTGGCTTTTCTCCAGATGTTGGAGTCAGGTTATTAGATGAGCCTGTATCTTTTTTGTGAGTTGGTACATGGTGCCTTTGATTTTTTCCCCTTTCTATATTGAACTAGTTTATCTTTGTTATACATTTCTTTGGACTTGGGTTTTGCCCTTCTCCTCTGGTAAACTGGTAGCTTGCCAGAGTTACATGTCTGAGGGGCCATATAAATAAAATAAATACGTGAATGGGAGAGGGCATAGAATATACCAGTCAGCAGCATTTCATGCTACCACTTCACTGCCTCGCCCAAAGAGAGGCACTTGGGTGGGTGTTTCTTTTTCTGGAATGTTTTTCTCCACCGCTCTCCATCAGATCTGACCCATTTTCAAAACCTAGTAGGGGTTTTTTGACAGCTGCTTCCCTACCCACACAAATACACAAACACTAAATTTGGTCCTGTTCCAAGAGGTTTTTTTGTCTTCCCCCTTCTTTACAAAATTTATTTCCAGTATTCCACTGGAAAAACTATTGAACAAAAATGCATGCAGAGCTTGGCTTCTGGAATTCTTTCCAAAATCTTTACCGGCAGTGGTCTACTTCTTTCACCCCACATGAGGTTCTGTTACACACTATCATGTGTTCATATGATCCCCTTTGTGCCCTTCTGACAGGCGAAGCCAATGGGGAAGCCAGATTCACTTAACAACCGTGTGACTAACTTAACACCTGCATTGATTCCCTTAACAAAGGTGGCAAGAAAAGTTGTAAAATGGGGCAAAACTCCCCCAATCTTTTGCAGACTTAAATTTATGGATTTTGAAATAATGTAACCCCAAATGCTGTACCTACCTCCTCCATGTGCACAAGACACAAATTGCACGTATGTTTGGTATTTGTTCTAAAATATGTTTAGTGCTAACTGCTGCCTGAAATATTGGACTGAAATATTAATGCGTTATCGATACTAGACAGCTATTTACAGTCTGGATATTGCATATTAGCAGAAGATATTACATTTTAGCTTCACAATTGCCTTTAAGCAGAATTCAAATAATTAAAAAGCATTTATTTCTTATTGATTTATATTGTCTAAGTAATGCTAAGCATAATTGAATTTTTTTCTTGATGGGCTTCCAGATGCCCGATTTTCTCACAATGTTTCTTTTTTTTTTTTTTTCAGGTAGAAAAAACTCTTCCAAATTTCCACTCTTGGAATTTTTGTATGCGTATTTATGTTATTTCATCTTTTTTACTTTTTACCTAATTCTGCTTGTATTTTATAGTGTATGGTAGCGACCTTTGCTTGCTCTTAGGCGGAGATGTAAAAAGAGGTCTTTATATAAGAAGGTATTGATAGTACCGTCTATTTCATTCAATTATAACATAAGCAGGTAAATGACTTCCCACTGCTGCTGCCGATTTTGCCCTAGATAACTGCACTTTTTTGGTATATGACAACTGAACCTTTATTCCAGACTGTTTATATTTTATTTGCATTTGACTTTGCATTTGCATTTGAGTTTTTTTCAAACTACATCCAAAAGAAATACATCAGTGTCAACACCTTTTGCTTTCAATCAAGCACATTCCAGTCCATAAACACCAATACTGTTAAAAATGTTGATTTTAAATGGTGACACAAAATAATTTTCTTTTGTTACTCCCCAACAGTAACAAAAACACTTCCCCATTGCAATTAATTATCTTGTTCTTATAAAATTTTCCTTGATTAAGTCATCTGGTAAACATAACTGCAGAACAGCTACTATAGATGTTATTTATTTTATGTCAGGGGAGTTGTTTGCTTTATTTTTAAATTATCTGAACATGTTTAACATAAAATCAGTTGAAACTTTGCTTATAATCTTGTAATTGTCACCTGTTAATATTTAGCAGCCCAGATGGAAAAGAAAATTTAAGAAAAAAAGTTTTGACAGTAGAAAAAAGGATGAGATAATCACACATAATTTTTAAATTAAAAATTGGACTTTCTTCTGCCAAGGAAATATATAAAACTAAACCAATATACGATTGGCAACATTTTCAAACTAAAAAAATGCTGCAGTTAAGATCAGTGATGCACAAACCTTAGTCTTGCAAAAATCATGAATGGCAGAAGCCTGATCACCCAACTCGAAACACCCATTACAGTCATAAAAGGAGATTTATGTTTTAAAAACTCTTTAAAAATTTGGGATAATAGTTTTAGTATTGTACTATAAAACAAATAGCAGCAAGAGGATATGAAGGAAGTGAGAGAGTTGAGCTGAAAAAGAAGACTATCAAGCCAAACAGAGGAAGAAAGAAAACCAGCAAGATGCAAATGGATTTAAAAGAGAGAAACAAAACAAAACAAAACAGAAGCAGCAGACGTTAACTGCCAAGGCAGCCTGTAGTTTCATTGCATGTGCATCCTTATTACTAAGCCCAAGAACGTTTACAACAGTCAAGTGTGGAAGACGTGAAAGTAAATCTGCTTAGCAAGTTATCCTTTGGTCTCTGATTAACATATTGTAGATAGGTTGTAACTTTTGCATATGCAGTGGGCTTCATTTTCATACATGTTGACAGCTTCATAATGGCTTTCTCTTCTTTTGTGGGTGGGGAAAGGATGCTACTGTGAAGTACATTATCCCACGGGTTTCAGCTGTCAGAGATGACAGGAAACAGGAGACCCAGGGCAAATGGAAATCCACTAAGCCTTCTCCTTCCACCACCCTCCCTCCTGGCATGCATGCATGCAGTCACAGCCATCCTCATAAGGTGCATCTCCCCACGGTTCAGCAGAAAAAACAAACCCCCAGAAGCAGAACCTCATAGGCAGTTCTAACAAAAAGGTGACCCTGAATTGTAGCGCACATCCCAGAAAAGATTAGCCGTCATCTCATCTGTTTCAAATACTCAGTGAATCCGCCACATTTAGAAGGTACATTATTTGGGGGAATGCCTTTCTTTCAGGTAAAACTGTAAGCGGAGGAATGCTAGCCAAGAGCATCCTCGCGTGGAGAAAAGCCGCCACTGCAGTCAAAGCATGCAGTGGTTTTAGAGAACAGCCACAATCTGCAAATCAGTTCAATCTGCAAATCCCTGGCCTGGCAGAAAAGGACACTAATACAAACAACACTACTGTCTCCTTCCCACCAAAGACCGAAAATTCTAAGTTGGTGGGGAGGAAGCAGTGCAGTTTATGTAAAAATGCAACAGAAAGCATATAATGCGCTCATTTGCTGACTGAACCAGCAATACCCAGAGGGCTGAATCCCATTCTTTCCCAGTTTAAATGACCTTTGGTACAATGCAGATCCAGCACTTTCTCATGAAGATACTAGTCCCATTTTCCAAACACAAGTCTAGTTCTTTCAAAAGCTCTAGACTTCGATACAAACGATCCTACGTAAAGCCTGATCAGCGCCATAGAAAAGGACCTGTTGGGCATTGTGTATTCACGTATCTCTGCAGATGCCCAGCTCCTCCTGAACTAGCTAAAATGGTATGGAGGGCAATTCCTAGCAACCAGAAGGAAGGAAGCAGGTAGAAGCTGGACAGGTTTCCTTCCTGACAACATCAGCAACCACATTTGAAGTGAACCAGTTTGTGTTGTAGCAAAAACTGTCTTGGGAAAATAGGGGAAAACCCTGTTTTAGAACTGGAACACTAAGGATAAATTTTAGCTGCTTCAGCTATGCACTGGCGATTATGCAGAAACAACTTCACAAGGATAAATCACATAAAAACAGTTACTGGGGTCGGCTTCAGCCATGGTTGGGGGCATCTGAAGGTGAGTCTGCAAGTTCCAGTACAAAATGGGAAATTAAAAATTCAATCAGAATTCAATCCCTGGCCTCCCCATAAGAATACCACTGCATCTAATTCACATCCATGACACAAACTAGTCCCAAATCGAACTGGTCCACTTCAACAGAATTGTCAGCCTGGCTCAATAGGGTAAAAAATATCCCCGAAAAATATTTGCTAACAAGTACTTTATGGGGAAGAGGAGGGCAACATACTTGAACAATCCTGCCAGCAACAGAGTCCAGGGAGATTAAGATAAACTCCTATCAAAAAGAAAGGAAGTAGTAGAAACTACATCGTAGCAGTGCAGAAAGATGTATCAGTGCAAAATCTTTCTCAGTATTGTGCCACTGCATGAAACACAAGTACTCTGCAAGGCTATGAGCCAACTACTGGAACAAAAGGTTGCATTATGTCCAGTCAAGGACAAAACTTGGTTCAAGAAGTCTAGAATTCTCTTTGTGGGTCCTTCAGAGAAATAGATATTGCATACAAAGGACTGCACATTTATCACACAAATAATGGGCTGATTAGACATATCCAAATTTATCTTTTAAGTTAAAGTAACTTGTAAGATTCTATAATGTACAAACCGGTGCAATCAAATTCTCGGAACAGATTCATTTCTGTTACAGGGTCATGTTTTTCTAAACTATCCGAGAATATTTTTAGTTTGCCATTGGTTTAACTCTTGGTGGGTTGGATTGAACTGACCTGTTTGGTTCTGTCTGGCACATTTTATTCCCACTGGAATGCACATCTGCCAGAATTGAAGCCTTAAAAATCAAGGGTGAAGATTACTGCCACCAATGAGATATGACAGCATCTTCCCGACAGCTTGTTTCTGACCTCTTAGGACAACAGCAGAAACCAACAGTACAATCCACAAAATAAGATGTAACTCTAATTTGAACAAGGGAACTCAGTCTCGAGTTAATCCCTAATTTAATCTCCCTGGTAAGTAGGAGAGCAGAGCAGACAGGGAGTAGAGTGTAGAGAATTCAAGTAGGAGTCTAGGACAGAGTACAAGTGTGAAGCTGCTCCAGGCAGCAGAATTAGGACGTTTCCATTAGCTTCCTCAGTGGAAACCACATGAGCCATGCTAACTCATCAATAGGGGCCTCCTGTGGTCACTCAACAAAATCCAGAGCTGTTTCCTGGCTATATGCATGAGATGCTTCTAACTCTGCAGTTTTTGCAGTGGGTCAAAGGACCCTTCAGAAGCCTGACATAAATACTATTTACATGACACATATGCCCCAGTCAGGAACAGAAAGCTATGGAAGGGCATCAGGCAGTTATTAATACTGGTGACCCCCACTCAACCCCCCAATAGGAGCTTGTTGATGGTTTAGCAGCACTCAGTGATTGTGGCTTGAAGGCTTCAGTCCTTCAGGAGATCTGGGAATCTGTAGGAGACAGCAAAATCTCTATTCTGGTGTCACCAATTGGCTTTCACAGCATTGATGTCACTCACTAGGTTCTGGGCCAGGCAGATACCAAATATCTGAAATACAAATTGAAGACATGCTTGTGAAATGCTTGTTATTGTGCACACATATAACCAATGCACCAACCTTCCTAATCTTCCAGAAGTATTTGCAAATAATAATAATAATAATAATAATAATAGTAGTAGTAGTAGTAGTAGTAGTAGTAAAGTTGGAAGGGACCTTGAAGGTCATCTAGTCCAACCTCCTGCTCAGGCAGGAAACCCTATACCATTTTGGACAAATGGCTGTCCAGTCTCTTCTTAAAAACTTCCAGTGTTGGAGCATTCACCGCTTCTGGAGGCAGGTTGTTCCACTGGTTAATTGTTCTAACTGTCAGGAAGTTTCTCTTTAGTTCTAAGTTGCTTCTCTCCTTGATTAGTTTCCACCCGTTGCTTCTTGTCCTGCCTTCAGGCGCTTTGGAAAATAGCTTGACTCCCTCTTCTTTGTGGCAGCCCCTGAGATATTGGAACACTGCTATCATGTCTCCCCTCTTCCTTCTCTTCGTTAAACTAGACATACCCAATTCCAGCAACCGTTCCTTTTATGCTTTAGCCTCCAATCCCCTAATCACCTTTGTTGCTCTTCTCTGTACTCTTTCTAGAGTCTCAACATCTTTTTTACATCGCGGTGACCAAAACTGGATGCAGTATTCCAAGTGTGGCCTTACCAAGGCATTGTAAAGTGGTATTAACACTTCACGTGATCTTGACTCTATCCCTCTGTTAATGCAGCCTAGCACTGTGTTGGCTTTTTTGGCAGCTGCAGCACACTGCTGGCTCATATTTAGGTGATTGTCCACTAGGACTCCGAGATCCCTCTCAAAGTTACTACTATTGAGCAAGGTGCCACCTATGCTGTACTTGTGCATTTGGTTTTTCTTGCCTAAATGTAGAACCTTACTTTTTTCACCATTGAATTTCATTTTGTTAGATAGCGCCCAGTGTTCAAGTCTGTCCAGATCCTCCTGTATCCTAAGCCTGTCTTCTGGAGTGTTGGCTATTCCTGCCAGCTTGGTGTCATCTGCAAATTTGATGAGTTCCCCATCTATCTCCTCGTCCAAATCGTTGATGAAGATGTTGAAGAGCACTGGGCCCAGAACAGAGCCCTGGGGCACCCCACTACCCACTTCCCTCCAGCCAGAAAGTTTGGGGGATGCAGTCTTAACACCTCTGAACCATGAAATGCTGCAGCATGAAGCTATTGATTTCATTCTCATGCTCAGAGCACTGAAATCATTATTACTCCAGGACAAGTGACAGAAAGGCCTGGTCAGGTTTGCCCTACCAGTGAAAAGGCAACATCCCACCTCAAAGCTATAGAAAGGCAGCCTCAATCTGTGGACTCAAGTTTCTTTTCCTGTAACCTAATGATTATAGAAATGTAATCTACAGCACCTGTTCCCCTAGTTATTATAGGTTAGACCAGTGTTTCTCAACCTTGACAATTTTAAGGCATGTGGACTTCAACTCCCAGAATTCCACAGCCAGCAATGCTGGCTGTGGAATTCTGGGAGTTGAAGTCCACATGCCTTAAAATTGTCAAGGTTGAGAAACACTGGGTTAGACTTCAACAAGGATTTTTTCCTTTGTAATCCAACTGAAATGAATGGATCAGGTACAAATTGCAGTCACCTGAAGAGAACAAAGATGTACGAATGCAGATATCCTCTCCACTTTGAAGTTCCCTACTTTTGATTGCACCCAAACACAAATAGGCTATAAGATAAAGTCACATTTATGCATGTGCAATTAATACAACTATTAGCTATCCACTGAAAAGCAGCTTTTGCAATTCTTTCCAGTTCCTTTATCAACATATTCCTATGAAATGAACCATCTTGCAAGATTCATGACTGACAGGTATCCACATATCTTGGATCTAATCCCACTGCCATCACAAAGCTAACTCTGAAACAAATAGTAGGCAGGAGAATTAGATGTGTTTCCCATGTTAAACTGATGGAAAGAGAGGAAAAAAAATATACTAGTACTACTATTACTAATATTTTCATTAGTATTATGCATTCACTATTATGACCTGGATGGAACATAAAAACTATGCAACTGACTTTACTCAAAAACTGGTCCTATCCATACCTGATTGCAATGGGGTATCGTAAGAAAGTAATAACCTTCTAATAATGGGGAAAAAATTACATCCACCCCAAACACGTGTGCAATAGAATTTCATTTGGATTAAGTACCTGCTTTGTCAGAGTACGTGGCAAGAGAACAGAGTTAATCCTCCAGTAAAGGCCACCTAATGAGAAGGAAGGACTCACTGGAGAAGAGCCTAATGCTGGGAAAGATTGAGGGCAATAGAAGAAGGGGACGACAGAGAATGAGGTGGCTGGATGGAGTTACTGAAGCAGTAGGTGTGAGTTTAAATGGACTCCAGAAGATGGTAGAGGACAGGAAGGCCTGGAGGAACATTGTCCATGGGGTCGCGGTGGGTCGGACACGACTTCGCAACTAACAACAACAAAGTGCTCTAGATAGGGTAAAACTAGTTATCAAACCTAGGCACCATAGTATGGTAGTAGTATCATTTTGAGGTTGGGGGGAATTGAAGGTTCATAAAAACAACAATGGAAACAATTTACTACCTAAAAACTTCCTACTCTCACCCAAAACTAGTCTTTTCCCCTTCTGTAATATCACTGTATATTTGATAAATTCTGGTCATTTTCCTGGTCAAATGGATGAAATTGCAGCCTAGGGTCCCAGGAAAGTTGCATATCAAGGAAGGGTGGCTGGATGGAATTTCCACATAGGGGCTACTTGAAGAGGGAATTCTCAGTAACATGGAAGCTCCTACCTGAAGAAGTGCCACACCTACAAAGGTCCCTGCCACTACAATGAGATTGTCCTGGAGCCATTTCTCAAACTGACCAGCACATCCTTTAGTATGAATGAAGCTCTGCTGCTCCAGCTCCTGCAAAAAAAAAAAAAAAAAAAAGGTACAGAAGAGCACCCGAAGAGCCTTAAAAGCAGGACAAACTGCAGTAATCACCTCCCCTCAGCCCAAATTCAGAAAATGCAGTTTTTTTGGTAGCCTAATTAAGGGCTTTCCCTTGAACCTATGGCCAGATGCGTGTGCTCTGTTGCAGTCAGTGGCATTCTAATACTCCCACGCAGACCCTTTTCAGAACCTGTGTTCTTGCTCTAAATTCAGGCCATTCTTTCATGCTTATCCCAGCCCGGCCTTTTTTCCCTGGACAGACAGCCCACCTTGTTCTTTGCACTACAGATTCCCCACCGCACAAACGTGACCCTCACCAGTTTAAGGCGGACATCATAGCCACACTGGGTATTGAGAACGTCCTCCTGTCAAAAGAAGAGACACAAAACTAATTGAAATCATTCTGGGAACCGAGAAGAGAAATTCACTGCTTCTCCCCTAAATATCTTCAGCATTTGCTTTTCATTCCACACCCTTCCAAATAATTTGCAACTTCTACCTTCAGCTTTAGCTATTCTCCTCTTTTCCACCTCCATTCTTTTATTATGAAGGAATTCCATGGAATGACAAATATATAGCTGACACTCGTTTTTTTTATTTATTTCTGTTTTAAATTTATATCCCACCTTTTCCAACAGGCGCTCAAAGAAGCATACATACTGTTACCCCCTTATCCACAGCCTGGGTTTCCATGCTCCTAGTCCAACAGCTTAATCCCTGCACCACACTTGTTCTCCAAATTAAAATTATCATTTGGGATAAGGCTGCATTTAATCTATGTACTATTTTCCTAACAATTTACACAATTAGATTCCTATGTTAATATGAGGACCTTAAAAAAGCTGCTCAGACATTATTTAGGTCTACAGGGGATGAGCAAAGTGAGAATCCATCTCACTTATTTCCGTATTTCAACTCCTTACCGCAGGATCCTTGACACAGCAGGAAAAAGGTACCCCACAACGCTCCCTGCTGGGGTTGGAGTCAGTGCAGTTGAAATAAATGTTGAGATTCCAGTCATTAGGTCCATGAGCCCCACAGCACGACCACTGCAGAGGGAGACAGGGTTACCACTGGGAGGAGTGCTCAGAAAACCGCAGCACTCTGCAGCACCGAGCAAAAAGAATGCAAATGAACTTTGACAAGCGTGGATATTTGGAAAATAAAAACAGGAGATGGAAAAATGTGTAAGGTTTAATGCAGGAAGCAATTTTGCAATGTTGCAGGTTCATTATCAGCCATGAGATGGCAGGTTCACCTTTGGCCTTCATACCTTTTAATTGTCTAATGATGAGTCCCAACAAGGAACAGAACTTCCACACTCATTATTTGCTCTGCACTGTTAACTCACTTGGTGAGGTTCATCTGCAATCATGCTTTTCAAATTGCTGCTCTCCTATATTTTACCCCAGAGGTCCCCAACCCCCAGTCCGTGGACCAGCACCAGGCCACGCATGCCAGAAACCAGGCCGCGCAAACAAGTGAAGCCCCATCCATGGGATGCAGGTAGCATACGAAACCACGCCCCCTCCAATCAACGGAAAACCTCTCCCTACAGAACTGGTCCCTGGTGCCTAAAAGGTTGGGGGTGATGTGATTCCTCATCAGCCAGCGGACCCGGCAGCTGAGTCTGGGGAATCACAGGAGGAAGAGGAGGGCCTGGAGTGCCATCAGAGTCAGAGAAAGGCTCTGATGAGCTCCAAGTCTTACAGTCTGATGAGGAGCCTGGCCCCTCCACTTGTGCTCAGGCTGAGACACAGCTGTGCTGGGAGACTGTCAGACTGTGAGGACTCCCACCTGGAAGACATCATGGATGCTTACAAATGCCAACAGGCAATGAGAGAGAGGAAGGCAATGGGGCGGCTCCAAAGGCAAAGGAGAAGGCATTAGGAAGCCACGCCTTGGGCTGCATAATAAAAGGGAAGGTGTGGGAGTTGCTGGTTGCTGAAGGCAACTGTTTGGAAGAGATCAGATTTCATTGCATTGTGTTTGTCTTTGCCTTTGGACAATTTCCGTTTAGAAGAAATCAAGTTTCATTGAATTTGTGTTTTGTTTGCCTTTGCCTCTGGACATTTTTTAGGTCTGCAAATAATAATAAAAGGGGGTTATTTTTACATCGGTTCCAGCCTGCTTCTTGGAAGAGGGGTTTCTCCTTGTGAGTTAACAAGGAGCTCAAGTAGGCTGGGACAGAACAGGGAGCCTCTGTTTTACCCTATTGTTCTTCCCTCTCTTTTATATAACGATAACCCGATGCACGTGGGAAACAACATGCCTAAAATTACTCTTCTGTCTTATTTTCAAGAAAGCATCTGGTTCACCTGAAGTAATATACTGTGTTGCTATCAGCAAGCCCTTTCTATTATGAGTATTTCTGACAAAGTCAAGTAAATGAAAGAGGGACAGGTCTGTGCAGGATTTTAAAAAATCCATTTTCATCATTTTTAATCTTAAATTTCTTGTGCAAAATCTCGTGTTTACCTTTATAACTTTTTAAAAGAAGTTCTGGAAAGCATTTTATTACTAGTGAAAAGAATTTGACCTCCCCAAAAACTCCATTGCTAAAATCATGCTGATGTACTGGCTTTTTAAAGCTATAAACATTAAATTACATTGTGTAAATAGTGTAATTACATTTCTTAAAAAATAATGTAGAAAGAAAAGGTATTTCAGTTCAAATTATAAAACTGAAGCACACGTATTCAAATGATTCAAGAATGGTATCAGGAAAGATCGATTACAAAGTGATGAAGATATATCCAATATCTCACTGAATACATAAAAATCATTACTCTTAAATAGGACTTTTTATGAGGTATCTACAGTATACAGTACTATTACCCAATTTCTGATATATGCATTTGATCTCTTCTGGGATAGAAAAAAAATATGATCCATATTGCTTTGCCCTTGTTGAGGACTGAAAAGTGACCGAAAAAAAGACATTAGGGTCATTTATTCAGAGTATATATATATGTATATATACATATATACATATATATACACCTGCATATTGAGTGGATAAATTGTGGTGCATACTTTGTTATTGCCATGTTAGCAGTGATTTTCACTTCTTTTTTAATTTATGTTTCAATTTGCACTAGAACATGGTTTTGTCATTCTCAAAAATTATAGAGATATTAATGCAAAAGCACTTGAAGAGAAGAGCATTTTAACACTGTTTTAAACACTGATTAAACAACATCTTGCCTTTCTGATCAAGATCATCTTAGCATCGTGTTGTTGTTTTTTAAAATATTGTTGATTATATAATTAACACCAAAACACATTTTTGCTCACCTTTCTCTAGGTAAAAAAAGACTATGATAGTAAAGTTGCTTAATGCTTAACAAACAAACTTTTCTCAAATTGAGAAATAAAAAATGGATGATAGAAAAGGATACTTTCAATTAAATTGTCCGTGTGCATATTATCAAGTGGGGACAATAGGCCTTAAATAGGTCTTGCCTAAGACTTTCAAAACCCCATGAAAGTACTTCAAGTTAAAAAGAAAATTTCAAAGTAGAAAAGTGACAGTAAAGTCAAAAATCATACATCTGAAAGTTTAATGTATTTAATATATTATTCCTACTTTATTATGCAGATACCTACTATGTCTTATTCCTTATGACTTATTGAAGAATGTAGCTTCAGGAAATTTATCTTTAATGCTAAGCATCTGGATTATTACCACAACAAGGACCTATGAAAATAAATGTTCCTGTGCCTACAAGGGATTTAATGCAGCCCTGGAATTCTCCCTTCTCATCTACGTAACTATGTAATACCCATTATTGTAGCATATTTAAAATAAGGAACATAATCCAGAAAAATTTATAATCTACTGAAATACCTCCTGTCCCTTAGAACAGGATAATGTTTGAAAAAACACACCAGAAATTGGGCTTAAAGCAAGTAACAGTAACTGTCACCTGCATTTCTATATGGAAACTTTACACAATAATTTATACAGATGATAATTGTTATATCTAAACATGAGTGAGAAGTGGAAATTGAATCTCTGGGGGAATATTCCCTCAAAGAATAGAGACCAAACGTATATGTATATGTATACGTATATGTATACGTACAGTATATGTATAGTATATGTATATGTGCATATAACAGGAAGAGATTTTTAGGGGTAGTTTTATAAACCCAGGGCAAAGGTTTACTGGAGACTAGTTAATGTTTCAAAAGCTGTCATGTTACAACCAGGATTTTTCCAAACAAACTCCCTATCACCTAACACAGAGGTCCCCAACCTTTCGGGCACCAGGGACCAGTTCCGTGGAGAAAGGTTTTTCCACAGACTGGAGAATGCGTGGTTTGGTGTGCTGCCTGCATCCCATGGATGGGGCTTTGCTTGTTTGTGCGGACCAGTTGCTGGCATACTGCGGCCGGTACCAGTCCATGGACTGGGGGTTGGGGACCCCTAACCTAACATACACAAACATTACAAATGGACATATTGCTTTAGGTAATTTACATAACTCACATATTCCTGAGCAAAGTCTATGAGGTTCTGGAGGTCTATGTCATCGCGATATGCCTTGACGTTATTGTTAATAAAGAAGTTGAGCTGATCCTTGATCCAGCCCTTGAAGATGAAGGCCAGGACACCAGCTGTCAGCTCCAGGAAAAATATGAGCCCCAGGAACACAGAGAACTGGTGCCAAAAGAGAGGTACAGCATTAGTGTGCAAAGCCAAAAGATCTCCCATCAGTATGGGAGTATAATATCCTGCTTCAGGGTAAGGCTCACTCTCACATTGACTAGATAAGCACAAGTCACAGGAAAGGAAACTTTGCTTAATATTTTGTCAGAGGATAGCTGATGCACTGAAGGACAAAATAAAACAAATGTGGTGTTGCTAGTTAATTTTTAAGATAGTAAGCTATTTTTTAAAATTCAATTCATATGACTATATGGCTTCATAGCTCTATATTGTTTTCCTGCCTGGTAATAGAAGGAAATTGAATTAATACTTTATTTTTCTTCAGATCTTTCAGGAAAAATATAATATCCAACAATAACATTTGTATTATTTTCCTAATGTTATTTCAACTTGTATTATGCCCCTTGTTCCGACTTATATATTCTATCCATTTCTAAAAGATAAATATAACTTTCCTGCATAAAACATCAATTCAAAGCATTATGTCTTGTTTTCTTTCCAGTGCCAAAATAAAACTCAATTTCTATTACGCTCTTCATACAGCAAAGACTACACGAAACTTTCTAAGTCCTTGCCTAGTTTCCAAAGTCCAGTGTCAGAATAATGCTACACCAAGAATTATCACAGTATGTTTTGTAAGCACTCAAAGGGCTACATGTGAATTATCTCCATAATCCTGTAATATACGCCAGTATGGCCATTTTCTCCTGAAAATGAAGTGGACTAAGAGTAGGAAAAAGAACTGCTTGCCAATGTTCACCTTGGGAGTTCTTGGTCAAGTCATGATTTAATCCACAGAAGCCCAGTTTACATTACCAACAAGGAAAGAAAAAACAAGAAGAGAAAAAGACATACAAATTTGAGTAGGAATGTATTCTCCCTCAGTGCCCCAATACAGCCAGCAAAACCCAGCACGAACATCACCCCTCCAACCACGAGGAAAAGCCAGACTGGGTCAAAGCCACCGAGGTCTGTGATGGATGATAGATTGGAAAGCACGCCCTGGATAGAGATAGAGAAAGGAAAAAAACACAGAGCTGAAGTTGACACCACAGCCAAATTCCCTCCAGCAAAAATCAGTTTTCCTTTATATGGATGAAAAAAAAATCCCAATGACATAGAATTTCCACTGTTGAGATTATGTACACAATAGTTACTGTACCAACTGCCTGATGGTGTGTGAAGAGTAAATTATATATTTATACCAGCCTTCCCCATCTTGGTCCCCTTCAAATGAATAAAGATTCCTGACTGGAAATTCTGAGAATAATTTCCGGCTCTACAGATTGGCTGGGGAAGGAAATGGTACATTAATCACAAAGGCAGAAAGGGAATTAACCTTAGCTTAGACTAGCACTGATGATGTTATCTAGTTTGGGTAATGAAACATCTGCAAGAGAACACGCAAGCTCAGAGAGCACGAAGGACCCCTCAAACCTTAGCTTGCCCAGAAGAATTTGCATAGTTTTTAAAACACACATGTATTCTCCCATATTTGTTATTTACATTACAAATGAATTTTTAAATGGTATATATGAAAATAAAGTGATGAGAAAGAAAAAAGTAAACAGGTGGGTAAAGGAAAATAAGCTGTTTTTTATTATGTACACAGCTAAACACAGGTTTTAAGCAGGCCGCTTTTAAGCAGTCAGAATTCTAGCAGGTAAAAACCTCCCATTCTTTGTTGCTGCAGTGGTTACCGACAGCTTTCTGATTTTAATTTAAAGGGCTGATTTTGTTCTATAAAATTGCATGATTTTGGCTCCAGGATATCCTCAGGCTCCACCTCCACCAAGAGTTCCCTTCTCTGCATCAGATAACAAGGACACGAAGCCAAAGATAGTGGTACACCTGCGCTACACCTAGCATCCTCTTCAGTGACATCTTCCAAGGTGGTAATTGGGTATTTGATGATTGATTTTAGTTTCTTTTAGGACAGTGATGGCGAACCTTTTAGAGACCGAGTGCCCAAACTGCAACCCCAAACCCACTTATGCATCATCGGGTGCCGGGTGGGTGTGGCCCATTAGGTGGGTGTGGTCCATTGGGTGGGTGTGGTCCATTGGGTGGGCGTGGCTGCGGCGCTAATGGCAGACTGGGTGGGACTAAAAAGTTCAATCAATCAATTCCAACTTTGCAAAATCTTTTTTTTTTCCCACGAGAAATTGAAATTGACTGATTGATTGAACCTTTTTTTTTGCACACGGCGGCAGAGGCCTAAAGTGAAAAGGTTTTATAAAACCCAGCTGAAGGCCTAGGACTGGGGCAACGGCGCGCGTGCCCACAGAGAGGGCTCTGAGTGCCGCCTCTGGCACCCGTGCCATAGGTTCGCCACCACTGTTTTAGGATGTTTTAATGATTGGGCAGCTATTTGGGGAGAGGAGTAGCACATGGTCACTGTGCCACAGTTTTATTTTAATATGACTTTTTAAATTTATGTAATCCACCTGGAGTACTATGAGCAGAACAGTATATACTTTTCTGTAAATAAGTAAATAAACAGACTAAAATATCCTTCTAATCTGGGCTCAATGCCAGTTTCCAAATGAAACTCTTCCACCTCTCAGCTGCTGTTTGTCATGAAAACTGCAGCAAGCAGCCCTGCTGGGGGCAAATGGGAAGGTGAGCCATTCTCAATAGGAAATCATCCTGGTGACTACAACCTACAGCTGCTTTTTCACGAAATAAATATGGTCAGGGATGGAGGAGGGAGAGTGTACATAAATGTTATTTTATATCTGGTTTCAGAAAATCAGAGTATGCTGGTAGTATGTGAAGATGATTGGAGACAAAGATATAACATGATGAGGCTCACCAGCTATTGCTCAGCACATGTTCTCAGAGACCTGACTCAGCACAGTTCACTGGGTTCTAGGCTCGTTCTTAGCTATAAAAATGACTGAATAAACATGGAGGATGGGAAAATAAAATTGGCAGCTGGATGACATTTAATGTACAGAGATAGTAAACCTCTGAAAAACAAGTATATAGAAAACAGCCAAAAGCTTCTTACATTCAAAAGAATTTGCTCTTTAGCTCCTCATGGACACTTAGCTGGCTAATTGTTAATAATGTTGGACCAGAAGGACTCATTATTTGGTCCAGTAACACAATCTACACATTTCATTTAAATGTGCATTTTTAGCCAAGCCCCCAGGTTGCATGCAGACTGAAAGCTTCCGAGTAAAATTCCAAAAAATGGTTAGCAAATTCCAATGCCTACATGTAACTGAACTACTGAATTAATTATGCATATTTTATTGAATTTAAGTAAAACTTAAACATTTTCCTGGAACCACCCACTATTTTCTGGAGGCTGGTCCACAGCATTTCACTATAAAACCAAATGTAGCCCTTGGGTGAAAAAAAACATTGCATATCTAGAGTTATATAGATGAGTTATTATATATCTATATCTATATCTATATAACTCATGATCTATATAAATCTAGATAGATATAGATATAGATATACTTTTTATTCCAAACTTGAGTATTAACTATTCTTTTCATAAAATAAGTAAAATAAAAGTTAATAAATGTTAACAGCTATGTGTTTTTAAAAAAATAAGTAAAGTTAAAAGAAATTTCAATCAATTCAGTGTAAAGAACCAGCAGGACAGTGATATCCCACAAAGGGCTCAGGCAATAATATATGTGAATAATTTGTCCAATTCACATAATACAGGTATGGTTCAAATACCCATACTAGAACAATTTATTACCTGGATACCAAGATGGGTTTAGATACAACAGCCAGAAAAATATTCCCTTCCTGGCCATACTTACCTTTTCTGCCCAAGCCCACAAACCAATGGCTAGGAAAGCTGCCCCCAGCAACTGCAAAAGAGAAAAGGCCACCATCATGCACAGGATAACAACAGGGAGCAATTACCAATAGCTCTACAGTAAGAATGTATGACTGGCAGAGCCAAGGGAGGGGCCAAAAGAGGGATCAGCTTAGAATCCCTACACAACCACAAATTCCAACTCCCCTTGAATGCTGTGGATCCTCTAACTCTAACCAGATACTGACTGTTATTTGAGAAGATTCCTGTGCATCCGTTTTTAGCAATAAATCAGCTTAATTGAACCTTCATCTGTAGATCTGGTCTTTCATGTGGACCTGATAAAGAATGGCACAACGCCTTCCTCATTTTATAGCATTTTCTGCAGAAAGACAGATCATGATTCACACCAACTTTTGCCTCTTATGGCATCCCCATGGTCATGCGATCATAATTTAGATGCTTGGCAACTGATTTGTTTTTATGACAATTGCAATGTCCCAGGGACATTGATCACCTTTATAAGCAAAGTCAATGGGACAGCCAAGTTCACTTTACAACTGTGTTACTACTAAGTGATTCACTTAACTGTGGCAAGTCAAAACACAACAACTGTCTCGCTTAGCAAAGAAATTTTGCCTACCTCCATAGAGTCAATACCTAAATATGAATCTTAACTTTTTCCAACCAAACAAATCCAATGTTATGGTTGTATACATAGGCTAGATAGAACTAAATCCTTGTCATTTGCCAACCCCATCCACATTAGCAGGATACCCATCACTTGGATAGTGATGGGTCTAACTTGGGAGTCTAACTTGGGAGCCTTGGAAAACAGAAGGCTGAAAACACATCATGTGGAGCAGTTGGAAGCTTGGCACAGCGTGGACAATGGCTATGCTGTTCCCATGGTAAGAATGGAAGATTTCTGAAACAGCAGCACCATTGATCACAGTTCTTCCCCTTCCCACAGAGTAAGTCCTGCCCTCTTTCAGTGTCAATTGCTATTTGTTTGCCATTGCCTATAGGGCTTTGTGAGGGTTATCTCAATAGGTGGAATGTGAAGAATTCAGAAATTGCCCTTGTACAATATCTGTGATATTGTATAAGGCCAATCTTCACCAGGAAACAAAGAAACAATACAATGTGCAGTATGTAATTAAAAATAAGAGTGATACAGACATAATTGTATTGATTTAATAAGAAATCATTAAGGTAATAATAAGCTTCCTCAATAGTTCTCTCATGGATACCTTTTAGACCACAATCTTCCCAAACATGAAAATGAGAAAACTATGTTTTACTTCATCTTATTAACTCTGGATACAAAATCAGAATCATATTTCAATTCACTTCACATTTACCTTAGTAAAATAATATTAAAATATAGGTCTAATATTTGAAGAATGTTAAACCTCAAATCCTGGTTTTTCACTTATTTGCGTTGATGTGGTAAAATATAAAAGCAGGACAAAAATGTAATAAACAAATAAGCAAATATTCTTAGGTGATTTTCTCACATGAAACGTCTATGCTAAAAATGTCATTCCGATTTAATAATGCCAGTTAGCAACACTTGCCGACTCACACAAATATAATCTATATTGTGCATAACTGAAAATATAAAATTCACTCAGTAACTTTTTCTTGTCAAAACATAAAGTCCCAGGCTACAGTCAAGAAAAATTTGGAATTATTTGGGCTGTTCTTATTGCCCATTAATTTTAGGGAATCTCTTTTTGACTTTAACATTTTTCTTTTCCTTATGCCTTATGCCAGTGATGGCAAACCTTTTAGAGACCCAGTGCCCAAACTGCAACTCAAAACCCACTTATTTATCACAGGGTGCCGGGTGGGTGTGGCTGGGGTGGTCATGGCAGACTGGGTGGGTGGGGCCAGGGCAGCGGGGGCCAGTCCCTCGCCATCTCCGGGGCACGGCACGCGTGCCCACAGAGAAGGCTCTGAGTACCGCCTCTGGCACACATGCCATAGGTTTGCCACCATTGCCTTATGCTATCACATAATGTGGCAACCTAAAATTAAGAAGAAATTTTCTGACAGTGAGAACATCAGTGGAACGGCTTGCCTCCAGAAGATGTGGGTGCTCCATCACTGGAGGTTTTCAACAAGAGAATGGGCAGCCATTTGTCTAGAATGGTATAGGGTCTCCTGTTTGAGTAGGGGGTTGGACTAAAGGACCGCCAAGATCTCTTCCAATTCTATTATTCTGTATTCTGCATTCTGCATTTAAACAGTAGGTTCCTGCCAATTCATAGCCAATGTGAAAGTTCACTTGTTAACCTTTCCTATCTTTGCATCCTCCAATACTGACTAGCAATTCTGGAAACTGCTGTCCCTACACATGTGGAAGACTGCACTTGGCAATAATTCTTTCAAATGGATCTTGGAGAAGTTGAACAGACATTTCTCTCAATATTAATTTCTCATTTTCTAGTGAGTTTTCAGTATCTGGCAGAATTTAATTTTTATTTGGCAAATATTTTTTAACATCTTTTCTTGCCAACTTGCTCTGATCATGTCCTTGATGTATACAAAGTATTGATATTTATGTCTTTGTGATTTATTTTTCTCCTTTGGTTTTTTTCCGTCAACCTGTAAGTAATCACAATAGCAATGTTCCAACTGGGCACGGTTTTTCTTTAAGAGTGGAAGGTAGCAAGAAAAAGAGAGGGAAGTAGGTGTGTATTGTATGAGATCAGTACATCTAGAGGAAAGATAAATATTCTGCATAATAAATAAGGAGCTTCTATTCTATCACTAAAATCTATTAGGCTCACACATCAGAAATCATAGGATTTCCTTCCTAAAATAGAATATGAACTTTCAATACTTCAGTTAAAGACATTCCATCAGATCATTCAGCTCTCAATTATTAACCCATTTGGTGTCCTGAAAATGGCCCAAAAGTTGGAAAGTAATTTGCTATATTCCCCCACCCCCATATGCAGGTAGTCCTTGTATAGCAACCACAGTTAGGACCAGCAAATCCATTCCTAAGCAAAGTGGTTACTCAGTGGGAAATCATATGACCACAACTGTGTTTTCTGGCTCAAAACTGACAAGACTATTTAATTTCATACCTTCTGTTTTTGTTTACTTCCTGACCACTTCCTTACCTTTTGGAATGCTCACCCTGGCACTAGGATAATTAACAAAAAGGGAAATAGTTATTTTATCTATTAGATTTTTAACCCAGCCATTATAAATAATTCAAGGTGGCAAACATACAGGTGAAACTCGAAAAATTAGAATATCGTGCAAAAGTTCATTTATTTCAGTAATGCAACTTAAAAGGTGAACCTAATATATGAGATAGACTCATTACATGCAAAGCAAGATAGTTCAAGCCGTGATGTGTCATAACTGTGATGATTATGGCTTGCAGCTCATGAAAACCCCAAATCCACAATCTCAGAAAATTAGA